TAAGATTTTATTTATTTGACAGAGAGAGACACAGCGAGAGAGGGAACACAAGCAGGGGGAGTGGGAGAGGGAGAAGCAGGCTTCCCACAGAGCAGGGAGCCTGATGCGGGGCTCAATCCTAGAACTCTGGGATCATGACCTGAGCTGAAGGCACATGCTTAATAACTAAGCCACCCAGGCGCCCTGGAAATAATTTCAAATGAAGTTGCAAATTAAAATAGTACAAAGATTATCCAGCTATCCTTTACCCAGATTCCCCTATTATTAAAATTTCCCCCATTTGATTTATTTCCTATTTATCTAACTATATGTTTGTATATATGTTTATATATGTACATATATAAATACATTTGTGTGTGTGTGTGTATACACAGTATTTTTTTCTGAACCATTTGAGGGTAAGTTATATATATATATCATGATCCTAAAATATTAGGTCATATATATATTAGGACCAAGAGAGATATTCTCTTTTATAACCACAGTTAGGGTTGTCGGATTTAGAGAACCGTGGGCAAATTCCCATAAAAAAAGGATGAAATCTTGCCATTTGCAAAAACATGGATGGAGCTAGAGAGTATTATGCTAAGTGAAGTCAGTCAGAGAAAGACAAATACCATTATGATTTCACTCATATGTGGAATTTAAGAAACAGAACTAGTGAACAAAAGAAAAAAGAGAGAGGCAAACCAAGAAACAGATTCTTAACTATAAAGAACAAACTAATGGTTACCAGAAGGGAGGTGGGTGGGGGGATGGGTGAAATAGGTGATGGGGATTAAGGAGTACACTTGTTGTGTTGAGCAGGGGGTGATATATGGAAATGTTGAATCACTATGCTGTACACCTGAAACTAATATTACACTGTATGTTAATTAACTGAAATTTAAATAAAAACTTAAAAAAAAAAAGAACTCTGGGCAAATTCCAACAGAAATTAAAGCTTCTGAACTTTCCCTGACTAGGAAAACTATTATACTCCCTCTTCTGGACATACTTACACACTATTCTTTGATCTGATGAGTTCTGGGTCTCTTTGGTCACCCCTCAATTCCTAAGCAATAAGCCAAAGATGCTGGGCAAGGTTTCTGGTAACCATTGTATGTCATAATTTTGTTGATGAAATTGAGGACTGGTTGACTCTGGTATTGAATTAAAACTTGTATTTCTCCAGTCTTTTATGCTTGCCTTATATAATTCCATCTCTTGGAAGTTGTTGATTTAGTAGTGTTTCTCAGAATTGAATTAAATTTAAGAATTGGCTTATAAAACCACTGCTTATCAAATTTAATATGTGTAGGAATCATCATTGGATCTTGTTAAAATATAGATTCTGACTCAGTAGAATTGGGATGGGGCCTGAAATTTTGTATTTTCCAGAAGACCTTATAAGAGGACCTGCTCTGTGTAGCAAGGTTATGGCCATTTATGCCACAATCAATAGTATTTGTTAAATATGTAGGGACCTAGGTCCTATCCCAATGTACTGATTCAGAATCTCTGGGGCAGTGACCAGGAATACACATTTTAAATGAACTCCTAGGTAGATTTGAGAACCAGTGGTTTATGGGTTTGAATTGCCCTCCACCTTTTTCTCTACTTATTTTTTGTCTCTCAAAGCCTAGTGCTTGTCGCTCCTGCTGCTTGTTGCTTCCATTGACCACCTCAGACACTGAATTCTTTAACAGTTGTCTGCAGCAAGCATTTGCTGTTTATCATGGGCTGTATTTTCTCACATATATCCCGTCTCCCCAGACACATTTTATTTTTTGAAATGAACAGTTTTGTTATATACTTTCTTATAGCCTCAGCTCCTAGCATAATACTTGGCATAGAGTAAATATTTAATTAACATTTGTCATGGACAGTAATGGTGATGATAGTGAACGATTAATTTCTTTTCAGGACATGTGGTTGTTTCCCAGGCCTTGTGTGATTAAAAGAATCTGCTAATTCCATAAAGGAAACCACCCAACTGCTTAGCAAAGACTGTAAATGTCAACTGTGGCACGTTATTTTTCAGGAACTGGCACTACGATCCTTCTGTACCTTGGTAGCTTGGATTTTATTATGGTAAATGGCTTGTTAAAGGAAAGTAATACTTTGAATTTATTATGTCTTTTCTGTGAACCTGAAAGCACTCTAAAGCCATTTATTGTTACTGTATAGCCATGCTGTAAATATTATTACACCCTCCTTACAAAAAAGCTGACTAGGGAAGGAGCTGTAAGATACTCCGCCAAATTCATAGAGCCATTTTAAGAAGGCCAAACCAAGAAAATCAGCAGCCCCTGAGTGTCTGGCAGGTAAGCCCTCCTCGGCATCTCCCAGACCTCAAGTTGTGTGATTTTGCAAGGTGAGCGTTCCAGAGGAGAGAGGCCAAAGTAAGAAGAAATTGAAGATTATTTCAATAATCTCTTCTCTTCCTCCGTTTGCCTATTGCCATTTCTCTTTGTATCCCTCTTTTGACGCTTGTACATTGTTGCTTGTGTTATGGTTAAATGCTGACCCATCTTCCCTCCTTAACTTCCTTGTTTATTTTTTCTTTCATCTTGTTCTCTCTCCTCCTCCACTGCAGCAGCAAAAAGAACTGCCAACAGACGAGATCTGAAACGAGGTTGGCACCTGGTTCCATCACATAGGAATTCTGCCTCTTCTGAAAAAGTCCCTTCACTCTGGGGCACTTTCCTCTTTTGTTTGTAAAATAGGGATAGATCACGCCCACCTACCTCACAAGATGGTTGAAGCGATAGAACACGATTCGTAAACTGTAAAGCATTAAATGGATACCAGTGGTCCCCTCACTGCATCAGTCCAGGTTTAAATTAATATAATTCCAGGGCCACATTGCGCAGCAGGGCAGGGACAGGGCGTGTCCGTAGGGAACAGCCTGGAGGCAGATCTTTTTTCTTTGAGGAAAGGGCGAGCGCGGAGCTGCTGGGTGTTGTAGTCTTTGCGGCAGTCTCCACAGATCTCGGAGAAAGAAAAGAACTACAATTCCCGTGAAGCCGTGCGGAAACAGTCCCTTGTACCCTCCCGCCTAGCGCGTGCCCCGAGCTGAAACGGGAGATAGAAGGGGTCCTACGTGCGCGCCGGGGGTCCGCGGAGCGATCGCTGAAGTGGGGTGCTGGTGGTGGCTATGGCAGCTGATTGAGAAAAGGAGACGCGTGGGAGTGTGTGGGGACTGCAACAAGGATAGGACGCATGGCAAGTGGCAAATTATAAAAAAAAACCCAACCCCTCACCACCCTAGCGAATTCTAACTCGTACTACTGCGGAGGCGACGGGAGCGCGCTCTCCGCTCGTGCCTCACGCCCCAGCGACTTAAATCGGCAGGGGCGGGAAGGGGCGGGCCCTGTGGGGCGGGGCGTAGGGCGGCGGCGGCGGCGGCGGCCGCGGCCACGACCCAGACATCTGGGACTGTTGTTGTTCTCTCGTGGTGGGACCGCCTCAGTCCGTTCGCACAGAAAGAGACCCGGAGCTGGTTTGGTGGGAGCGGGCGGCCGCATCCCCCCTCTCTCCTGCTTCTCCAAAGCTGCAGCAGGAGCTGGCTCAGACACCCCGCGGTTGGTAGGTCTCCGTTGCCCTTCAGTGAGGAGGGGGCGTCAGAACCCTGGTGAGCGCATCTCAGCCCCCCCCAAACCAGTGTCTTCGCTGACCCCCCAGGCCCTCACACCCCAGTATGGCTGCCATGGCTGAAAATGCAGAGGGGGACCTGAACTCCAACCTGCTCCACACCCCGTACCACACCGGGGATCCTCAGCTAGACACGGCCATCGGGCAGTGGCTCCGTTGGGATAAGGTGGGTACCTGGTCAGCCCGGCATCCGCCCTGTCCTCCCGCACGCCCTCCCACAAGCAGTCCGCCTTTTCCCGTCCCCACCCGGTGCTCGGCAGGCTGCAGAGGAGATGGCTCAAGCCACCGGGCGGGGACCAGCGGAGCCGGGCGTTGCCACCCACCTATGCTTGGGCTTCCTCCCCGGGACCGTCTGAGCCGGGCTGCCAGTAGTCTCTTCCTTTTGCAGTGCGCGGGATTGCAGTCTCCCTTTCTCACCCACACCCCGCCTTTCAAGTGCGCGTTGTCTCTCGCTCTCTCAAAAAATTATTATTAATATCATCATCGTAAGTTAAACGCTTCATAGAGCTATTTCCTTTCTTCTCCCTTGATTTCCTTCTCTGCATACCTGAAAGTGGTTTTTGGTACCCTTTTTAGATGTCTCTAACCGCTTTTCGGTTTACTTCTGGTCTGGTGTGTTTCCACCTTCCGTCGCTAGGTAGTCGCTGGTCTTTTATCACTCCCTGGTATTCTCTAGTTAATCACCTTTTGCTCTTGAGAAAGGTAAGAGTTTTCTTACCTCTATATTTCCCTTGCCGAGAGTTATTTTCTGGAAGTATCCTGTTCAAAGAATCATGTTTTCATGGTTTCATTTGATGTTCCTGATACGGAAGTGTTTTTGCTTTACCCATTCCTTTTCTTTTTTTTAAGATTTTATTTATTTATTTATTTGACAGAGAGAGAGAGAGATAGCGAGAGCAGGAACACAAGGAGGGGGAGCGGGAGAAGGAGAAGCAGGCTTCCCGCTGAGCTGGGGCTCAATCCCAGAACCCTGAGATCATGACCTGAGCCGAGGGGAGACGCTTAACGACTGAGCCACCCAGGCGCCCCTTGCTTCACCCATTCCTTTTCCTCCTCTACTCCTGCCACCCCCTCCAAGTTGTTGGGGTGATTTCATTATGTGCAGGCATATGGGATGATCTGTGAAAGCCAGAGTTAAAATGCAGCTCTCTCACTTGTGGAAGAGGCCGCTGGTGTCTCCAACAGAGGAACATGATCCAAGCTTTTGCTTTGTCAAGTGCATTAAATGTATTTGTTCAAGTAGAGAAGGCAACGTATTTAAAATGGAATTAATAATAGTGAATTAAGGAATTAGTATGGCAGTATGTGAAATCATGTACAAAAGAATTTCCTAAAGGATTCGCTTTCTGAAAAAGTCTTATTTTCACTTTGCTTGGTCATTAATGCATTTAGCAAAAAATATTTATTGAGCATTGGGTAATGTTTTCTGAGCCTGTTAGGAATGAATACTAGTGGTGAGGAAATAGAAGGGGTTCTGCCCTCAACAAGCCTTCAGTTAGCAGATAAGACCAACAAATAAGTAATTACAATAAGTTAGTTACTGTTACTTGGTCATATGCATCTTAGATATTCTCTTCTTCCTCTAGAGTTTAAACCAGTGCTTCTTAAACCGTAAAGTGCTTGCAGATCACCTGGGGATCTAAAATGGAGATTCACATTTAGTAGGCCTGGGGTAGGGTATGAGATTCTGCCTCAAGAATGAGCTCCCAGGTGATACCAATGCTGCAGGTCTGTGGACCACACTTGGAGTGGGAAGACTCTAGAGTGTTCTGATTCAAATATCAAATAAAGAAATAACTTCCGTATTAAAGGATTTGACCATATAGATATATATATTTTTTAAGTTTTTATTTGTCAGAGAGAGAGAGTATGAGCGGGGGGAGGGGCAGGCAGAGGGAGAAGCAGGCTCCCCACTGAGCAAGGAGCCTGATGCGATGCGGGACTCCATCCCAGGACCCTGGGATCATGACCTGAGCCGAAGGCAGACGCTTAACCAACTGAGCCACCCAGGCATCCCTAGATACATTTTTTTAAGTCAAGTGTGCAGAATTTGTGATATCCCATTAATTACCATAAGGATGTGTAAAAAGCAAATAACTTTAAAGCCATTTGTCAGAGGTCAGCTTAGCATACAATAAAAACAAATGTACTACAAGCTGACTATATAAATGTCTTCAGCATGGAAACCTGACCAAGGGCGCCTGGGTGGCTCAGTTGGTTAAGCGACTGCCTTCGGCTCAGGTCATGATCCTGGAGTCCCGGGATCGAGTTCCGCATCAGGCTACCTGCTCAGCAGGGAGTCTGCTTCTCCCTGTCCCGCTCCCCCCTCTTGTGCTCTTTCTCTCTCTCTCTCTCTCAAATAAATAAATAAAATCTTTAAAAAAAAAAAAAAAGAAACCTGACCAAATTACAAATGAATGATAACCTTATCTGTTTAATATGGTTAATCATTTTTGCTTAAAGCCATCTGCTTTCGGGGCGCCTGGGTGGCTCAGATGGTTAAGCATCTGCCTTTGGCTCAGGTCATGATCCTGGGGTCCTGGGATTGAGCCCCACATCGGGCTCCCTGCTGAGCAGGGAGCCTGCTTCTCCCTCTCCCTCTGTCTCTGCCTGCCGCTCCCCGTTTGTACTCTCTCTCTGTCAAATAAAAAATAAAAAATCTTTAAAAAAAAAAAAAGCCATCTGCTTTCATTGGTATTTTCAGGAAATGAATGTTGTTGGACACTTATGTGTCCTTGAAGAGAAAGGAAGATTCATGAAATTTGAAAATACTTGTAGAATTCCAACACAATTTAATTTACTAGTAACTACTATGTATGTCAAAGCTTTTGATCCCAACAATAGGAATTTGTTTTCATTGCCATGGATGAGATCTTTTGTTCTTTTTAGGTGCGAGTTTTGACTATACTTTTCCTAACGAGTCCTTCATTGATTTTTTTTTAAAAGATTGGTTGAATGAATTAATATTTATTAATCGTCTATGCTGTGCCTAGATATTGGGATGTATGGAAATATAAAAAGACTATAAAATGCATATAAACACAAAAAGATAACACTAGGGCAGTATTGGTGGCAATTAAATGTTTTACAGGCAGTCCTTATAGGAATTCAAAAGTAAGGAGTGACCTGTGGACTGGGATGATCAAGGAAGACTTTATAACATGGGATACATATAAAAAGACTGAGGGGAGCCTTCACTGAAAATGGAAGAGAAATTCTTTTTTTTTTTTAT